TTTAATTCTTGGAAGAGTTTAGGGCATAGAAACACTCCTTTGAGGATTTTACGGCCCTAAGGCCATTTCCTTTGGAGTTTAATGCCGTAAACTCCCTTGGAATGATGTTTTTGATGCTTTCAAGTCCCTTGCACATGTGGTATAGGTCTTAGGCTTTTATCCCAAGCATATGAAGGCCTTAGGCACACTTTGGTGCCTTTGTTTGATGTTCACGGCCCAAGAACCTTATTAGGGCCGTGAACTCACTTTGAGGGGTGTTTTTGATGTGTTTTGGTCCTTGATTTAAGTGGAAACAATTCCTAGTAATTGTCTAAGGCTTTAGGTGCCTTAAAAGCACCCTCTGATCCAAGTTATTGGAGTTCACGGTCCAAGATCATCTTGGGCCGTGAACACCCATGTTTTTATGTTTCTTGGTTTTTTTCTTGTCCCTAACACACATATATATGAGTCTAAGGCAGTAGCATAACACAAGGGAAGGTCTAGGCATTGTTTCAGGAGTTTACCGCCCAAGAACACCTTGGGGAGTAAACTCCTAAATCTAGTTATTTAGCTATGTAATCTATGTTATGAACACATTTTAAGCTATATAACACTACTAGAGAGAGGTACTCACGATTTGGGATAAAAACCCGAAGATCCGTGAGAGAGAAAATGGCTTTTCTCTAGTTGAAAATGTGAATAATGAATGAAATTGGTTCAGAATTCTATTTATAGTCCTGAGATTTTTGGCAGAAAATATTTTATTCCCGAAATGATCTCTAATATAACAGAGTGTTGGAATAACAGTGTTGCACAAAACCCTAGTGTATCCACTCTCCTGATATTTCCTGAAGTGTAAACCCTAAATTACTCAAACTTATACGGAAAAGTCTGAAAGTTTACTGTGACTGATATAACTTCTATTGAAGTGATATTGTTTGTACATAATGGAAATTCTGGGTTGTCACAATGATAAACTTAACTCTACTTAAATTAAAATATGTGTTGCTCTCCTTAGCCTAGTTGTTGGGGAATAATTCATGGACTACTTTTAAACAGACTGTCTTTTCTTGGGCTTATGTATTTCATTATTTGCTTCAACTATATATATATATATATATATATATATATATATATATATATCAAGATCCTATAACAACATAAGTTAAAATAGGTGTTAAACATGCATTGAAGAAACATGCAAAATTAATGTATGTAATTAACTAATAAAATCCCATTAAAAATTTTTATAGTGTTTAATTAATGAATATAAATATTAATATAACTTATGCAAATAAAGTATCTTTGGATCCAGGATTACAAAATGTTTTTCCCAAACCACAAAAGAACCTATTCCATATTCTTAAATGCTAACATACGTTTGTTATCTTCATTTGGTATACAGGCGGATGGCTTTATTGCTTCATCCACAGAAACTCTATAGTACCCATATGTCAATAGCTTTCCATATATTCTATGGTTTTCATCGGTAGAATACATTACAAAACTATTCACAACGACGTTTCTACATTGAGCCACTGGTAGTGAACATTTTATCATCTGCATCCACAGGCACATATTATTAATATTTGTATTAAAAATAAATTTTAATTACCTGACATGTATATATATATATATATATATATATATATATATATATATATATAAACTTTTGGAATATACATTCTTTGTCCAGTTGCTACAGTGTCTTGGGTTGAGGTGTTTCTATTCCTTTTTCAGTTGAATTCCCAGCTTGTGGCTCCTCACACGTAGCTGTAACATTTTCTTCACCCTCATTCAGACTTTCCCGAAAATAGTTTACCATGTTTAGTCTACGAAATTTAGTTAACAATATTGGAAAAGAATTGTACAAAACATATTACTGTATTAATTAACCTACATCGTGTTCGACCTGTTTGGGGGTATTTGAAATGTCGATTTACCCACAAAATTGTTTTTCCTTTTCTGGGATGTCAATATGCGATGAAAGCATTAATTAGCAACCCATTTTATTAACACTCACTTACTTACTTTTCCTGTAGGAGCCTTTTTTTGGAGTTGTAGTAGTAGTTATTAGAAATTCTGCATGATTAACGATAGGAGGAACTACCAACCTCATCAAATACTCAACTTGGCACCTCAGATCTTGATTTGCGTTTATTTGCTCATGTAGCCTTTGCTGAAGGACAAATTTTTTTTTTTTATTTTGATGAGGATTTGGCTCGAGGCAGACCCAATATTTGGTTGAACTGACTCCCGTGCCAACCCCTCTTACAAATCCACCATGATCTTTGTCAAAGACTAGTGAAAGGGCATATGTGGCTTGTTCAAGAGTGGTTTTTCCTTTATCAATTGCAGTTTCATGATTGATATAGAAAAAATGTATGTCAAATAAATATAGTATTAGGTGTGTTCTTTATTGGTTAGAATTAACAAACACCAAAACAAGATATATATATATATATATATATATATATATATATATATATAAATATAGAAGCTGCTAGTTTGGCGATATATATACCAACTCTTTGGCAACAAGCTTTACTTCTTCCCAATCAAAACTTCCCTCTTTAATTGGGACATTAGATTGGGCGAATGTGGAAATTAGGTAAGAAGTTGGAGAATACAACTTTTTCCTTTTTGGTGCTTGAACCCATTACGAAAGGGGAAGAGTTGAGGACAAGGTATTGTACAATTTATGCGATAATACTTGGTGTAAACACAAGAAATAACAACAAACTTTTGTTTATTTGTGTATTATAGCATAATACATTTATTTCTTTCTATTACAACATTGCACATATTTTTTTTTCATATTAGGGCATTGTACTTTGACAATTACCTAACTACGGCATTGCACTTTCTTTATATATATATATATATATATATATATATATATATATATATATATATATATATATATATATATATATATATATTAGAGTTAATGGTGAGGCAAATATTGTTGCAATAACTGCCACCAAGGAATATGGTAAGACAAATACCTAAAAAAACTACTGATTTTTTGTTTGTTACTGCAGTTCAGGTAAACCCAATAATAATAGATATCCGATTTTACCCTTGGGTTTGGAGCGACTTCAAGTGTTGCACAATTTTCTTTTCACCTGCTAGAATTTTGGGACTATAGTTATAATTAGATCATGCTTTGTTTCTTAAACTTCAAAGATGCAGTGTAGGAATTGTTTTATATATTTTTTAGCATTATACATGCCAAGAAATCTCAAACACAACAGGTAAGAGTTTGTTAACACATGCTCACCATGAACGCAATTAAAAATATTTGAATTTAGAACATTCAAATTGAATGTGTGGCCGGTACTATTCTAACCCCGCAAAGTGGGGATTCTTCACTAGTTTAATTGAAATGCGGAGATTGCATGTGTATATCAAACTTGTACATTATTATTTGCTATATATAAATTGGTGTGCCAATCGTATATGATACCTTAATGCTAAATTGGGAGCTTCATGTGACCATTAAATTCTTATGCTTCCTTATTAAAAGTTTAACTTATTGAAGAAGAAATTTATACGCATATGATTCTTGTATATGGTGCTTACAAGAAAATAAGTTTTGTTGTATATGCATGGCATGTGATTGGAGCAAGTAAGGAAAAGGAAAATTCAATACACTTCATGGCCTCTTCTTTGCAACAAACGTCATGATTACCAATATGAGATTCCAAATTCATATAAGGCTTGTACATCATGTTTAAAGAAAAATATATTTGTTTGGAAAAAGATTTATTACATTTGGTAAATAAAATGAAGTTGTGGGACTGTATATTTGTTTGGAAAAGGATTTATTATATTTGGAAAATAAAATGACGATGTGGGACTACATCTGCAATTATTATTGAACAATATATTTTTTTTGGATTTTTGGACTTTTGCCACTAAACTTTTTTATTATGGAGTTTTGCCACAAATTTTTTGGATATTTGTAGGCTTAATCCTTATAAGTTTGTAATTTACAAAAAATGTCGATGTGAAGTTTTTTTTTTTCAAAAACACTCCTTTAAATTTCTTAAGAAAAAACCTTGTCAGCATCCCTCACGAAACATGAGGGAACACTTTCAAGTTGTTACTAAACTAGGTGTGACAATCATGTATTACATGAGTTTATTTAAAAAAAAAAATATGAAATTTTAACCATTTGAAAAGTTTAAATTTAAAAGAAAAATAAGAAAAATTTTGAATTATTAAAATCAATGAGGCTTTAATGTATTGAATACATTACATATATAAACTCTTTCTAATAAATACCTTACATATATATTACCTTAAATATCAAATGTGGAATTTTAATTTAATAAAATGAAAAATACAATAAAATGACAAGTGGAAAATAGAAAATTCTAAAATTCTAAAAATGACGTCTGTCCAAATAAAGGAGAAGATGACATGTGGCAAAAAGTTCTTTATTTATTATGGAGAATTTCGAGTGTATAAGAAAATATCTTTTTTTATTATTATTTCTATTATCTTTTGTTTTTTAGCAATCACTATAATGACGCTTGTTAAGATCATATAATTTCATTTCTACTCACTACCCAAATTTAGCTTCAATAAGTTACATTTGCTTATTTAATATATAATCGTATATATGCTATGTGAAACAATGATTCAAATCAAAACATGTATTTTCTTAAATTATTAAATAAGTTATATGGGTATTGAAATCTAAACACAATTGTCCTCAACAAGTTCGTTTCAAGAATTTAACTAGTTGTTGCAAATTTTAATTTGTTCACCAATAAACCTTGTAAAGATTAATGATAAGACAAACATAACGTTGATAGTATTTATATATTATAAACCGATCAAATTTTAAACAATGGAATATGTAATACCAAAAGCATGAAATATAAATAAGTGATGGAAAAACAAGTACAACCTATGACTTGTTTTTTTTTTTTAATCTTTATAGACAATTATTAATCAAGACACAACTGTAATAGGAGAAACTAATGCTTAACTGAATTAAAGCATAAGATTTACCATGATCCATCAACTACATTGTCACTGATTGTCACCAATGTTGATGTTGACTTACCATATATTGGTGATACCTCCTCATATTGCTTCACAAGGCCAACATTAGTTTGATCTATAAGGGAAACATGTGACAATCTAATGCATTCTAACTCAATTGAAACTTCTTTCATTGTTGGCCTATTTTTTCCATTGAAGTTCAAGCATCGCATTGCCAAATTAGCTATAGACAACAACTCGGTCCTAAAACCTTCCTTAACAATCATTGCATCAAAAACAGACATCGCACGACCTTCTTCCATGGCTAGCATAAAGTGTGTAGCTAAACTTCTATTTTCACCAAATCTAGTTAAGGAGATTGGCTTTTCTCTTGTCAAAAGTTCCAACAAAACAACTCCAAAACTATAGACATCACTTTTTTCAGTGAACTGGCTCGATTGAAAGTACTCTGGATCCAAATAACCAAAAGTCCCTTTAACTAATGTAGTCAAATGAGTTTGATCTATTGATACCAACCTTGAAGTACCAAAATCAGAAACTTTTGCTCGATACTTTTCATCCAAAAGTATATTAGTTGTCTTGATATCCCTATGGTATATCGGAATGGAGGTTGCTGAATGTAAGTAAGAAAGTGCTCCTGCGATCTCGGTAGCAATTTGTAATCTCATATATAAAGAGAATGAAAACTCATCAGTTTCATTTTGAATAAGGTCATATAAATTACCATTTGAGACGAACTCAGAGACAAGTAGTGGGACCTCGGTCTCTAGGCAACATCCTAATAATTTGACCACATTTCTATGGTTGACCTGTGAAAGAATGACTACCTCATTGATGAACTCTACTACTTGACTTTCATCAACCACCATTGATTTCTTGATTGCTACGATCCGTCCATCTGCTAACATACCTTTATATACAGTACCCTGACCACCTCGACCAAGAATTCTATTCTCATTAAAATGGTCAGTAGCCTTCTCCAATTCTTTAGAGGTGAAGAGTATGGTTTCATCAACATCAGTTGCTTGTTGTTGTTTAAGAAGGAGACCACCATTACGCTTAAAAAACCTTTGTTTCCTTCTCTTAGATTTAGTTTTCTTGATTATTTTGTATAATGCATAGCCGATCACCATTAGGAAAAGCAATCCCATGCTTATACTAACACCTAAAAGAAGAACATACAATACAATAATTAACATAAGTACCTAAACACATTCAACAATTAGCAGTATAGACTATTTAGTCTTTAAAACATAAATTTGATAGAATAGTTGCAAAGGTGTTAAATTTTGCAATATTTTGTGTCCAATGTGTTTGGAATATCCGAAGGTCATTAATCATGTGTTATGGAAGTGTGCCACTTCGGTGTTAGTTTGGGAGAAGGTTTTTCTTAGTTAGACTTTGAAGTCCCTTTGGTGGAAACTCTAGATGATGCGTTTGAATGGACTAAGCAGTTACATGTATGGGCTCTGAAAAAGAAAGTGTTAGAAGCTATTATGTGTGTGTTAATATGGGTCCAATAATGGTACAGGAATGATTTTGTGTTTGGCGTTTCTCCCGCGATGGAAGGTAGAGTTTTTGATATTGTAGTTGAGTATTTGTTTCTTTGAATTGCTAGTAGGACAAAAAAGTGTCGGTTAGTTGGAGTTTAAAATCCTCTTTTAGCTAGTTGATTTTAATTGGTTTGGTTTGCTAGTTGTTTGCTAGATTTTAATGAAGTATTTAGTTGTTCAAAAAAATTGATAGGATAACGAGTGTTCACAAAGTAAATATTTGGTGTTTTAAACTTTGTCATTGTTATGTTTGTTTTTTTTTTAATAAAGATATATCAGTAATATAATTTACATTTTACAATAATAGCAAATATTTTATTGATTTTCTAAGCTTTATATCTATTTTTAACCTAAAGAGAAATAAAATAACCTTCTAATTTTTATTCAAACTATCTTCTTATGTATTTAAGATAATGACAAGTGTCATGCAATTTAATTTAACTTTGATTATAATGTTAAACTTGTAAACATATAATCATCTTAAATAAATAGAAAAAAATAAATAAAAACAAAAGATAATAAAAAATATATTTAATTTCTCTAACTTGAAATATCATAATCTTCTACCATTTCTTATTACCTTTTTGGAATATTTTGAATATATATATATATATATATATATATATATATATATATATATATATATATATATATATATATATATATATATATATATATTGGGTGTAGTGAAATTATTGGGTGTAGTGAAATTTCTTCATTTGTTACTACAACTTTTATCTTTGCTTTGTTATGTTTTTTATATTACTTATATTTCATAAAACTTAATGAATTTATTCATAATTATAAATTAAGGAATCAGAATCATATAATGTATCCTAAATACATATTAAATTCTACGTTTACCTTGCTATTTTTCATTTGACTAATTATTTTATTATTCGAGTAAATGATTTTTTTTTTAAATTATATAGCAAACCAAAAACATAAAATGTATCATAAAGAAATATAAACTCATAGGAAAATAATTTTATTAAGATTAATAATTAATTCAGTTTATATTACCTTGATACCTTTTTATAGTTTAAATGAAACTCGTTAAGTTTAAAAAAATAATAAATATTACAAAATATAAAGTAATAAACATGCGTTGAGTAATTTGAATTTAAAAACGAATTTACATTTTATCATAGTAAACAACACAAAATACATTAAGTTTATACTAAAATTCTAATTTAACACTGTTTTTTTTTATTTCAAATTTGTCAATATATTTTCTAATTTTTTATAACTCTGACAACTTAACCGGTCAACCCGTCGGGTACCTGCTAACATGACACGATGACGTGTCAGTTTGATAACGTGGCATGCTGACATTACATACCAACGTGTCAAAATTGATTTTTTTTCCACAAAAGATACTAAGTTTTCATTTTTTTTGTCGATTTTGATAGTAAGTTTAACTTTTTCTTTCAATTGACCATTTCCATTTGAAACCGCATAAATATTTTTAATACATTTTAAACCGTATATATATATATATATATATATATATATATATATATATATATATATATATATATATATTCACTTAAAAATCATACTTTTGTATAAATAAAAGTTTTTTTTTTATTACACTCAAACCATAATAATATGTATAAATATGTATTAGTTATATGACAACCATATTTTATATTAAGTACACAAACTTAAAATGAGTTTGGTGGTTAGGAAGCATGTAGTCGATCAAGGCCCAGATGTTACGTTTGCAAAACGTGAAATTTTTACATCTTATTTGAAGCTTATGGTTAGTTTGGTTCTTATGATATAACTAATGCATATTTAGGCATAACATTATGCTTTGAATGTTTAAAAAAAAATGTATATAAATAAAAATATGGTTTTCAAACGAAAAATGTATTTATACGGTTGAAAATGTATATATATATATATATATATATATATATATATATATATATATATATATATATATACGGTTTCAAATGGAAAATGGTAAACATTAAACAAAATTGGAAAAAATAATGTTCAATTTGGAACAAAAAAACTGAGTGTCCAAAAAAGAAAGAAAATTAAATTAAGTGTCAAAATCGAAAAAAATGAAAACTTAGTGTTTTTTATGAAAAAAAAAATTCAATTTTAACACATCAGCATGTTATGTCAGCATGACACGTCATCAAAATTGAAATGTCATCATGTCACCTCAGCTAGTAACCGGATGACCGGTCCAGTGATCAAAATTGTAGAAAAATTGAAAAACAAAGTGTCAAATTTAAAACAAAAAAAAAAAAAAAATACACAATGTCAAATTAATTTTTAGTATAAACTTAGTGTTTTTTGTCCTATTTAGCCTACATTTTATAATTCCTATTCTATTTACAAACAAATAAAATTCAGCAAGTTTATCAAAAAATAACTAGGATATTGTTACTACGTGTAAGTTTTAAATTATATTAGCAATAGGGATGGCAAAAAAACCCGAAAAATTGGGGCGGGTCGGGTCACTCTTATCGGGTTTCGGGTCGGGTTTCAGGTCATTATCGGGTTTTTAGTTCGGGTTCGGGTCAGGGAGTGGGGTATGCATGCCCCGACCCGCCCCGACCCGAAAAATATATATATATATATATATATATATATATATATATATATATATATATATATATATAAATGAGATTTCATCCCTCTAACCCATTTCAGCCACCCGAAGACTCTAACCTTCAATCCCATCACGTATTCCCAATTTCTCACTATTGTGATGAATTTAGTTACGATATTAGACTTTAGTAATTTCTATTTGGTTCACTTATGTTAAGAATTTATTTGTATTTTAAGCATTTGTAAGGTTTTAATTTCTCAATTGTTTCATTGTAGTTTTCCTAATTTTTTCTGCCACCATTTTCGGGTCGGGTTTCGGGTCTATATCGGGTTTCGGGTTTCGGGTCGGGTTCGGGGATATTTTTAGCCCCGACGGGGCGCCCCGATAAGAAACCCGTCGGGTTTCGGGTCGGGTTCGGGGACAAATATAAATATCGGGTTCGGGTATGGGATATGCTGCCCCGCCCCGAACCCGCCCCGTTGCCATTCCTAATTAGCAATATATCGGAAGAAGAGCAAAATACATTTCTAATTTCTACAATTTTCACTTATAATTCCAACTCTTTTTGCAAGTATCAAGACGAATTCTAGAGAAGTTTTACAAGTATTGTGCTTCTATAAGAAGACTTATAATTGATAATTTTGAAATCAGTGTGTTTGAACGTTGGAAGGTTAAAACGATTATATATATATATATATATATATATATATATATATATATATATATATATATATATATATATATATATATATATATATATGGAAAAGTGAATATACCTAACAACCTTATATAAGCTTAGGTACCTAACTCCATAATACTACATCGGTTTGTATCATATTTACATTGTAATTGTCTAAGGTTCTTAAACTTCAACCCCATAACTTTATTACTTCCAAAATCTTTGGACTTTCACCAATATCTTTCTTTTAAATAACGTATTTGTATTAAATACCGCCTGATAGGTTTCATATCCTACCGCTACAAATGAAATGACGTAGGAGAAATATAATGATGAATTTCCAATTTTTTTTTTGAAGTAAATCAAGTTTATGGATAAAGTTTAAGAACCTTTCATGATTGTAATGAAAATTTAATGCAAAATGACCTACTTTGATGAGGTTAGGTACCTAAGCTTATATAAGGTTGTTAGGTATATTCACTTTACCCATATATATATATATATATATATATATATATATATATATATATATATATATATATAAGGGTTCAATTGAGAAAAAAAAAATGTTGAGAATGAATGAATCATTCTAGCCACACATTTATTTTGCCGCAAAACACTTAGACGTACTGGCAGAATTTGAGACGGATACACATGTGTTTTTCCAACCAAACATATTTCTTTAAAGTATAGTAATCATTACCTTAATATACACAAAAATATATATTGTTTTTTATTTTTTTTATTTTTAGAATGCTATTTTCATCGAAAATTTATTTTAAATATATAAAAATTCATAATTTTTTATTTTCTATAAATAGACATTCATATTGATATATTTTTAAGAAAAAATAAAATAAAAATTTAGAGTTTCAGCTATCGTTATTCATAAGTGAATAAAAATGTATCAGATTTTTATTAAAGTATATTTGTTATTCATTTATGAATAAAACGCATGCTTAACTTTTTTACAGTTTAAGTATTGTTTATTTATGAATATAACACATTATAAAGTTTTGTTACATAAAATATTTTTTTTACATCATCTTTCGTCACATGTTGTATTTATATATGAATAAAATGTATATTAATTGTCGTAATATGTTATATTCATATAGTAATAAAACATTTTTAAGATTTTTGTTAAAGTTCATTTGTTATTCATATATAAATAAGTAGTATGTTAAAAAAAGATAAAGTGTTTTAAAAATATGAATTACTTATTTATATAGGAATAACAATTGAATTGTAACAAAATTATGATAAATGTGCTCTTCGTATATAAATATAACTTGTGAGGAAAGTCAATACAAGTTTTATTCATATGTAAATATAACATGTGACGAGAGTTGGTGTAAGTTGTAAAGAGTTTATTATATGTCATATTTATATATGAATGATACTTCATCTGTAAAAATAAAATTAATCATATTTTTTATTTATAATTGAATAACGAATGTGTCGTACTAAAAATATAATGCATTTTATTCACTTATGAATAACGATAGCTGAAAATATATATATAAAAAAATTATTTTATCTTAAAAGTATATATCAATATAGATGTCTATTTGTAGAGAAAAAAAATCATGAATTTTGATATATTTATAATCATTTTTCGATAAAAATAGTTTCTTAAAAATAATAAAAAAAAAAACAAAAAAAACTGTGTTTTTATATATATTAAGGTAATAATTAGCATAGTTTAAGTAAGCATGTTTTGTTTGAAACACATCTGTATTCCTTTCACATTTCTGCTGGTAGGACGAAGGTTTTGCGGCAAAAATAAATGAGTGACTGAGAATGATTCCCCATTTTCAACCTTTTTTATTTTTTTCAATTGAACTTACCTATATATATATTAGCGATTTCATTGCTCACATAAAAGTCTAGTCATTAACTGAGATGATGAGATTGTTATGTTGGGTTATATAATATTATGTTTACCATAGTATGTGATATTATGATTTATTGTATATTTTTTTGGATATATAATAAATCCAACGAAGAGTGCAATAATTACATAAACTAGCAATAATTTTGTCATTTTTTAAATTTATAAGAAATTTCATATTATCTATCTAATCTTATTTAACTTAGTATATCCATCTCATCAACTCATTTTCCGCCAATTTTTCGGGAAACATACATTTTACTTATTCCATTGCTGACGTGGATACATAATCATAAATGAACCGATGAGATGTATCAAATTTTACGGTAAACATAACATTATATAACTCATAATATCCATCTTATTAACTCATTTAATGACTAGTAGTAGATGTCTAGGTTAAATATAAATTGGTAAAATGTATCTTACATAGAAAAATTGTCAAATCATCATTTAATTTTAGTTTGTTTGATTTTTTTTTTATTCATAAATTATGGTAAAATAATGAGATTTTAATGGACGCGGGGAAGTAATAAAATCGAAAAACCTAAAAAAAAAAAAAAAAAAAAAAAAAACAGGTCAAATAAATGAGTTAGTAGTTGTTGAACCATGCCTAAACGAATTTGATGGGAAAGTAAGTAGAAAGGAATTTAAACGCATATAGTGGTTTAGAGAATAGCTTACCCAGAATGACACCTAAATTTCTCCCCTTATAAATATAACAACTTGTAGCCGAGTCCGCGTCAAGATTTAGCAGACAATACCCTCCATTAAGTTTACACTTTTTGCATTCTGGAGAAGTATTGCTGTCGTCTTGGGTATCTGTATACCACGAAAGTGTTATGGGAACGTAAGTGCTGTTCTTGTCAATTGG